TGCTGATTGCTTTATAAATTTGAACGATATGATGGAGAAACTACGCCGTATACTTGTTAGGCCGATTACCTGCAAGTCGGAAGTGCTCAAAGACCTAATGACTTGAAAATACGTCTACGTCAGACACGACAAAGTATTTACACCACTGTCTGCACCATACAGTGGCCCCTTTCGCATCAGCCTTAGAGACGACAAACATTTTACTTTATTAATAAAAGACCATCATGAAGTGGTAAGCATAGACAGACTCAAGCCTGCAAAAATCGACAAGCCAGAAGATATCCAAATAACAAAGAGAACATGGAGCAAACATATATTGGGGAGAAAAGGAACACAGTGCAGATATCATATACAACTAAGAAAAAGGGTAGATTTTGAATTGTAAGCCTAATACAACCCTTTTTCAATTCTAGCCCTTTCCTGGTTAGCCTCTGCGGGAAGTATTTTAGTGATTTTACCCCACAATCAGTTTGGATACATTTCACGGTCATCTCGCGACTTATGCAACACCAAGTGGACGATGACTCACCGGCACTGTGTCCAACACGGACTAGGCGAATCTAGTCACCATATCGAGCCTCTAATTTAGCTAATCAGAACGTAGCATTAAAAGTACACAAAAGCACAATTTTAAGTCGGAAACTAGCTCGACATAGAAACAGTGCCAGATTGCCTTGAGTTGCGCCGTAGTCATTTATTTGTGACCGAACACTGCCATCTTGCTCCACCACCACACTCAAGCATCGTCTGAGTCTTTCCCAAATAGAGGTCCTCGCTTGTAACTTTCCTTCTTATATACATGACTCTCTGTGTCTCGTTTTTTTTGTTCGTCTATATAAGGCGGTTGTAGTCTATACGGTAGCGCAAAGACGAGCACATATATATGGTGAATATTGATGTCTGATTCACTAAAAACGCATTGTTGCAGGCAACTTTTAAATCTCAGTTTTAGTGTTTCTGTAGGGTCCTTAATTATAATTATATATCCACCAATATCAGCTAAAATCAACATCATCTGTTCTATATTATCAGTCCTATCCATGGCTACCACTGCCCCTTCTTTTTCTGCTCGTATTGTATAAGCTTCTTTGGTATATTATAAACACATCTATTCTTATTTTATGGTAAGCAATTAGATGGCAACCTTTGTTTCAATCTCACTTCTAGTTTCTTCTGCTAACCGGGCAGCAAATGTAATAACCTCTACTAAAAGCACATGATTGAAGCTCTTACCATTTGGTGAAGCATAATTAAGACATGTAGATAGAACTTCCTCAGAGATACTATCCACTGATGTTTGGACAGGTTAAAAACTTCCGACGTATCTTTATTTTTTCTTCTCCTGTGGATGAAGCCTGAGTGTTATTAAAAGATATATTTATAATTCCTAGGTTCTTAAGTTTCTTATCGTGGCTCTTCCTTACCTGACGAAATACTACATCATATAATTTATCAGCCATTGGTTGAAGCTTGAGGAAATCCTTAGAGTTAATAGTATCAGACAAAACTTGCCTTTTGTTCGGATCAAATTATGTAATCGTTAACCAAATCATGAGATACTTTTATAAGATCCCTATTAGTTCTATTTGGCAAATTACGTTTATTTCGAATACAACACTTAGAGAAAATACTACGCGAAGAACATAATTTTAAAATTCTAATGTGATTAACTTATCTGGCCATTAGTTTCTTATTCCTTGTGGAACCTGATGAATTTGAAAAGTTTGGTCTCCATAATGACGTAACTTTCATTAACTTTGTAAAGGTGGGTCGAAGGAATTCGTAGATCAACCTCACCGGATACCGCAGGAGGGTTGCATTTGACATTCGTCTGTTTTATTGTGTAGCCGTATAAAGTTGGTTTGACCTCGTTTTCACAGCACGACTGGAGCAACAAGGAGACCTTATGGAATGTACCTACTCTTGTTTCCTCTGCTATGGTGGTTATCATTATTCCCAGCGTTGGACCGTAGACTTGAAGACATTTCACCGGCATCGCAGTCGTAGTGAGAGTTAACATCGTTATATAGTTACAATTGATGAAGTGACAAGAGAAGTCAACCCATTTCTTACTTTCACTCAGCCCCTCATTTTCAACCAGCTTGTCTATGGTTCCCTACTACATATAAAAATATCTGTATGGCTGAATAATAGCCTTAAATTCTCGTCCCCGTTTACGTCATATTCAAGGATTTAAAGCTGGTAATTATATGTCTACACATCTTCTTCTCTCTAGACTTAAGACACCTTTTCCAGCTATCCTCTTTCACATCCTTATCCCAAATTTATCTCATTCTTTAGTGCAGTGGGTGCGGCTTACTTCACAATTGATAGTTTAAAAATGCTCATAGATCGCGTAAAGCACAGTCCTTTTGTCTCTCAGGTTAAAAGTCCCGTCTTAATACCAAGGGTAATTGAGTTTTAAGGACTCGAGTAGGATAGAATTGTTGGAGTGACTTTCATTTCGTATGAAAGTGCATAATAAAATATTCCTATGATGAATAGTATTACCAAATGTCATATCTAAAACGGATGAATACAGTATGGGAGGGCTGACAATAAAAATTCAAGCCTTAAAAGGCGGAGCAAAATAAAGAGCTAAGCACTGCGGTGTACAGCAGAGG